CTTACTGGATGTTATGATATCATCATACCTTACTGGATGTTATGATATCATCATACCTTACTGGATGTTATATCATCATACCTTACTGGATGTTATGATGATATCATCATACCTTACAGGATATTATATCATCATACCTTACAGGATGTTATGGTGATATCATCATACCTTACTGGATGTTATGATGATATCATTATACCTTACTGGATGTTATGATATCATCATACTTTACTGGGTGTAATGATGATATCATCATACTTTACTGGGTGTAATGATGATATCATCATACTTTACTGGGTGTAATGATGATATCATCATACCTTACAGGATGTTATGATGATATCATCATACCTTACAGGATGTTATGATGATATCATCATACCTTACAGGATGTTATGATGATATCATCATACCTTACAGGATGTTATGATGATATCATCATACTTACAGGATGTTATGATGATATCATCATACCTTACTGGATGTTATGATGATATCATCATACCTTACAGGATGTTATGATGACATCATCATACCTTACAGGATGTTATGATGATATCATCATACCTTACTGAATATTTGAATACATTTAATTCATCATCTTTTATCTAATATATAAGATAAATATAACTATTGTTCCCACATTTCAGGTGTTTCCACAATGCAGGTGTTCCATTATGCAGGTGCTCCCACATTGCAGGTATTCCCATAATATAGGAGTTCTCACAGTGCAGGTGTTCCCACAATGCAAGTGTTCCACAATGCAGGTGATTCCACAGTGCAGGCGTTCCACACGATGTAAGTGTTCCCACGATGTAAGTGTTCCCACGATGTAAGTGTTCCCACGATGTAAGTGTTCCCACGATGTAAGTGTCCCCACGATGTAAGTGTTCCCACGATGTAAGTGTTCCCACGATGTAAGTGTTCCCGCGATGTAAGTGTTCCCGCGATGTAAGTGTTCCCACGATGTAAGTGTCCCCACGATGTATGTGTTCCCACGATGTAAGTGTTCCCGCGATGTAAGTGTTCCCGCGATGTGAGTGTTCCCACGGTGTAAGTGTTCCCACGATGTAAGTGTTCCCACGATGTAAGTGTTCCCACGATGTAAGTGTTCCCACGATGTAAGTGTTCCCACGATGTAAGTGTTCCCACGATGTAAGTGTTCCCACGATGTAATGTGTTTCCCACGATGTAAGTGTTCCCACGGTGTAAGTGTTCCCACGATGTAAGTGTTCCCACGATGTAAGTGTTCCCGCGATGTGAGTGTTCCCACGGTGTAAGTGTTTCCCACGATGTAAGTGTTCCCACGATGTAGTGTTCCCACGATGTAAGTGTTCCACGATGTAAGTGTTCCACGATGTATGTTCCCACGATGTAAGTGTTCCCACGATGTAAGTGTTCCCACGATGTAAGTGTTCCCACGGTGTAAGTGTTCCCACGATGTAAGTGTTCCCACGATGTAAGTGTTCCCGCGATGTGAGTGTTCCCACGGTGTAAGTGTTCCCACGATGTAAGTGTTCCCACGATGTAAGTGTTCCCACGATGTAAGTGTTCCCACGATGTAAGTGTTCCCACGATGTAAGTGTTCCCACGATGTAAGTGTTCCCACGATGTAAGTGTTCCCACGATGTAAGTGTTCCCACGATGTAAGTGTTCCCACGATGTAAGTGTTCCCGCGATGTAAGTGTTCCCGCGATGTAAGTGTTCCCACGATGTAAGTGTTCCCACGATGTAAGTGTTCCCACGATGTAAGTGTTCCCACGATGTAAGTGTTCCCGCGATGTAAGTGTTATCACGATGTAAGTGTTCCCGCGATGTGAGTGTTCCCACGGTGTAAGTGTTCCCACGATGTAAGTGTTCCTACGATGTAAGTGTTCCCACGATGTAAGTGTTCCCACGATGTAAGTGTTCCCACGATGTAAGTGTTCCCACGATGTAAGTGTTCCCGCGATGTAAGTGTTCCCGCGATGTAAGTGTTCCCGCGATGTAAGTGTTCCCGCGATGTAAGTGTTCCCACGATGTAAGTGTTCCCACGATGTAAGTGTTCCCACGATGTAAGTGTTCCCAGCGTGTAAGTGTTCCCATGATGTAAGTGTTCCCACGATGTAAGTGTTCCCACGATGTAAGTGTTCCCACGATGTAAGTGTTCCCACGATGTAAGTGTTCCCACGATGTAAGTGTTCCCACGATGTAAGTGTTCCAAATTGCAGGTGTTCCGCAATGTAGGTGGTCCCAAAATGCAGGTGTTTCCACATTGCAGGTGATTCGCAATGCAGAATTAGTAGTAATAGTAATAGCAGAATAGTAGTAGAAGAATTGGTAGTAGTAGAGCAGTAGTATTTGTAGAATTAGTAGTAGTAGTAGTCTAATTATTAGTAGAAAAAGTAGTAGTAGTAGTAGTAGTGGTGGTAGGAGTACTAGTGGTAGTAGTAGTAGGAGTACTAGTGGTAGTAGTAGTAGGAGTACTAGTGGTAGTAGTAGTAGTAGTAGGAGTACTAGTGGTAGTAGTAGTAGTAGGAGTACTAGTGGTAGTAGTAGTAGGAGTACTAGTGGTAGTAGTAGTAGTAGTAGGAGTACTAGTGGTAGTAGTAAGTTAGGAGTAACTAGTGGTGTAGTAGTAGTGGAGTACTAGTGGTAGCAGTAGTAGGAGTACTAGTGGTAGTAGTAGTAGTAGTAGGAGTACTAGTGGTAGTAGTAGTAGTAGGAGTACTAGTGGTAGTAGTAGTAGGAGTACTAGTGGTAGTAGTAGTAGGAGTACTAGTGGTAGTAGTAGTAGGAGTACTAGTGGTAGTAGTAGTAGGAGTACTAGTGGTAGTAGTAGTAGTAGTAGTAGGAGTACTAGTGGTAGTAGTAGTAGGAGTACTAGTGGTAGTTAGTAGTAGTAGGAGGAGTACTAGTGGTGTAGTAGTAGGAGTACTAGTGTAGTAGTAGTAGGAGTAATAGTGGTAGTAGTAGTAGTAGGAGTAATAGTGGTAGTAGTAGTAGGGGTACTAGTGGTAGTAGTAGCAGGAGTACTAGTGGTAGTAGTAGGAGTACTAGTGGTAGTAGTAGTAGGGGTACTAGTGGTGGTAGTAGTAGTAGTAGTACTAGTGGTAGTAGTAGTAGGAGTACTAGTGGTAGTAGTAGTAGGAGTACTAGTGGTGTAGTAGTAGTGAGTACTAGTGGTAGTAGTAGTAGGAGTACTAGTGGTAGTAGTAGTAGGAGTACTAGTGGTAGTAGTAGTAGGAGTACTAGTGGTAGTAGTAGTTGGAGTACTAGTGGTAGTAGTAGTAGGAGTACTAGTGGTAGTAGTAGTAGTAGTAGGAGTACTAGTGGTAGTAGTAGTAGTAGTAGTAGGAGTACTAGTGGTAGTAGTAGTAGGAGTACTAGTGGTAGTAGTAGTAGGAGTACTAGTGGTAGTAGTAGTAGGAGTACTAGTGGTAGTAGTAGTAGTAGGAGTACTAGTGGTAGTAGTAGTAGGAGTACTAGTGTTAGTAGTAGTAGTAGTAGGAGTACTAGTGGTAGTAGTAGTAGGAGTACTAGTGGTAGTAGTAGTAGGAGTACTAGTGGTAGTAGTAGTAGTAGGAGTAATAGTGGTAGTAGTAGTAGGGGTACTAGTGGTAGTAGTAGCAGGAGTACTAGTGGTAGTAGTAGTAGGAGTACTAGTGGTAGTAGTAGTAGGGGTACTAGTGGTGGTAGTAGTAGTAGTAGTACTAGTGGTAGTAGTAGTAGGAGTACTAGTGGTAGTAGTAGTAGGAGTAATAGTGGTAGTAGTAGTAGGAGTACTAGTGGTAGCAGTAGTAGGAGTACTAGTGGTAGTAATAGTAGGGGTACTAGTGGTAGCAGTAGTAGTAGTAGTACTAGTGGTAGTAGTAGTAGTAGGAGTACTAGTGGTAGTAGTAGTAGGAGTAATAGTGGTAGTAGTAGTAGGGGTACTAGTGGTAGTAGTAGTAGTAGTAGTACTAATGGTAGTAGTAGTAGTAGTACTAGTGGTAGTAGTAGTAGTAGTAGTACTAGTGGTAGTAGTAGTAGGAGTACTAGTGGTAGTAGTAGTAGGGGTACTAGTGGTAGTAGTAGTACTAGTGGTAGTAGTAGTAGTAGTAGTACTAGTGGTAGTAGTAGTAATAGTAGTAGTGGTAGCAGTAGTAGTAGCAGTAGTTGTAGTTTCGGTAAAGATACTAATGGTAGGTGTTGTGGTAGTAGTAGTAGACCATGATGAATGTACCACCTAGATGTCTTTACTATCACTTGAGTAGCCAAATGTCTTCGTAATAAAGACATGCAGCTGTTACACGTGCGTCTTATTCTTCAACTTGTCGGTATTGTATAATATTAAAGCAATAATACTGCATAGAATATGGAATACCGAGACTGTGAGTGTGGAACAATGGCTCTGTATATAGTGTGGAACAATGGCTCTGTATATAGTATGGAACAATGGCTTTGTATATATGGAACAATGGCTTTGTATATAATATATAACGAACAATACTTTTGTATACAGTACTGAGTAATGGTGTTGTATACAGTACTGAGTAATGGTGTTGTATACAGTACTGAGTAATGGTGTCGTATACAGTACTGAGTAATGGTGTCGTATACAGTACTGAGTAATGGTGTCGTATACAGTACTGAGTAATGGTGTCGTATACAGTACTGAGTAATGGTGTCGTATACAGTACTGAGTAATGGTGTCGTATACAGTACTGAGTAATGGTGTCGTATACAGTACTGAGTAATGGTGTCGTATACAGTACTGAGTAATGGTGTCGTATACAGTACTGAGTAATGGTGTCGTATACAGTACTGAGTAATGGTGTCGTATACAGTACTGAGTAATGGTGTCGTATACAGTACTGAGTAATGGTGTCGTATACAGTACTGAGTAATGGTGTCGTATACAGTACTGAGTAATGGTGTCGTATACAGTACTGAGTAATGGTGTCGTATACAGTACTGAGTAATGGTGTCGTATACAGTACGAGTCGACCGTATCGTCAAATGTACAAGACAGTACCAACCTTGAGCCTGGAGCACCACATACAGTCCGGAGTCTGGAGACAGTCATCACACTTCCTCTGAACATTACACTCGTCTGATGACCTGTGCTGCTCCTGCTGTTGGCCCACCACCACGCCCACCACCACGCCCACTACCACGCCCACTACCACCCACGCCACACTTAGATCACTCTGCCTCATTCTTGAACCAGCACACCGCTTCAGAAACCCTGTAAAGAATTAATCTACATTATTTAATTTTGAAATATAGCAATAATTCCACATTATTATATTAATATGGTTATGCAAAATATTAAACCCGTGTGGGGTTACTCACGGCAGTCTGTGGTCGAGGCTCGAACCTCTGTCTGCTAAACGCGGAGAAACTATGCGCTGCAGCCAGTCTTGCACTATATATCATAAATTACTGCAATCTTTTAAATGTTCTTACGTCTTTTTCTGGGGGATGAGGTAGTTCCAGCTTTTTGGTCTCCCCTTGTTTTAACCAATCAAATTAGCCGAGTATATACTGTAATTTGCATCAGGGATTGGATTTAGTTTATAGGTATGTTGAAAGGGTTAAGGATAATTACACTTTTGCAGGAATGCAACTTAAATGGTGGGGTATTTTGGTCTATGCGCACAATTTCACACACTGACACAAACACAACACTGACGCTAAGGTATTCAAGTGTGACCATGGTCACGTAGAGATGTATCGGATGTGAAAATTTAGATATCCGCGGATGCGGATATGTATGAGGATGTTTTGCTTACTTATTTCGCGGATGCGGATGTTCCGTGGACGTTGATGCGGATGTAAGAAATTGTGCGGATGTTTCGCAGATGTTGATGAGGATGTGAGAAATTATGTGGATGTTCCGCGGATGTTGATGCAGATGTAATAAACTGTGCGGATGTACCACGGCTGTTGGTGCGGATGTAAGAAAATTGTGCGAATGTTTCCGCAGATGTTGATGCGGATGTGATAACTTGTGTGGATGCTCCACAAATGTTGATGCGGACGTAAGAAATTGTTCGAATGTTTCGCGGATTTTGATGCGGATGCAAGAAATTGCGCGGATGTTTCGCGGATGTTGATGTGGATGTAAGAAATTTTGGCGATGTTTCGTGGATGTTGATGCGGATGTAAGAAATCGTGTGGATGTTCTAAAGCAAAAATGGTCGAAGTAAGCAGGGGCATCGAATAAATAATGGGTTTCTACTAACAACTGAGACCAACCTATATGTAGACAGAACATGAAGGTCACGAGAGCTGACAGAGTAACGAAGGCAATGAGCATCCTGACGATCAGCTAAGGAAGGAACATTCGCCTCATTATAGAGGCTTTCAACAGGGGACGAACGAAAGGCACCAAGGCATAAAATTCAAATTCAAATTGAAATTCAAAGTTTATTCTCTATAAGGCTTACAATGCTGAGTTTACAGAATTTGGTTATTGTGTGGTTTACATGTAGTAAAATAATGATTACAGAGTGTACCACTAGAGCACCTAGCATGGCTAGGCATTTCGGGCAGACTTAGTTTAATTCTTAATTTTAAAATATTACAAATTATGAGGTAAGTTGGTATTATGGCTAAGTGACTAAATACTAGTTTGTGAGTTTAGCAATGTGAATGCTTTTGTTTTGGCACAGTACATAGTTTCAGTATTGGAGTATCACAGGATTCATTATTTTAAGATTGAGATTGATATTTCTGTTTATGGTCAAATGGGTGAGTGAGTGTAAGTGTGAACCACCAGGTGGTATTCCTGTAGTTAATTGACGGGGTGTATCAGGGAGATAAGATATTTTCTAATGGTAGTTTTGAAGGTGATGAATGTGTCTGCAGTTCTAGAGTTCTCAGGTAGGGTGTTCCAGATTTTAGGGCCTTTGACATACATTGAATTTTTGTAAAGGTTTAGTCGGACACGGGGAATGTCGCAGAGATGTTTGTGTTTGGTGTTATGCCTGTGGGTTCTGTCACAACTATCAAGAAAGCGTTTTAGGTCAAGGTTGATATTGGAGTTTAAGGTCCTGTAGATGTTGATTTCACAGTAGTAAGTGTGGATGTACTGAACAGGGAGTAAGTTTAGATCTATGAAGAGTGGGGGGGTGTGTTGCCAGGGATGGGATTTAGCGATTCTTACTGCAGCTTTCTGTTGGGTTATTATTGGCTTTAGGTGTGTTGCTGCAGTTGATCCCCAAGCACAAATAGCATAGGTGAGGTATGGATAAATAAGTGAGTGGTATAGTGTGAGAAGGGCATTTTGCGGCACGTAGTATCTTGAAGAGGATCCCAACCGTTTTGGATACTTTTTTGGTTATGTGTTGGATATGGGTGCTGAAATTCAGGTTGTTGTCAAGGTATAGGCCTAGGAATTTGCCCTCATTATGTCTGGTAATTAGAGTGTTGTCGATCTTAATGTTAATTTGTGCATCTCCTGCTCTGCTACCAAACATAATATAGTAGGTTTTGTCAGTGTTAAGCGTAAGTTTATTGGCTGTCATCCAAGTCGATATTTTGATCAGCTCCTCGTTAACAATGGTGTTGAGGGTGGCAAGATTAGGGTGAGAGATGACATAAGTCGTGTCGTCAGCAAAGAGAATGGGTTTCAGGTGTTGGGATACGTTTGGAAGATCATTGATGTATATGAGGAAGACCAGGGGACCAAGGACACTTCCCTGCGGAACTCCAGTATCAAGTGGCCGTGTTGTTGATGCTGTGTCTTTAATGGTGACATACTGATACCTATTAGTAAGGTAAGATTTGAAATAAGCAAGCGCATGGCCTCTTATACCGTAATGGTCAAGTTTGTGGAGTAGGATGGCGTGGTCTACTGTGTCAAAAGCTTTTCTTAGGTCAATAAAAATTCCTAGTGGATATTCCTTATTTTCCAATGCTGTGTAAATCAGATCTAGCATTTTTATGATTGCATCATTAGTGCTTTTATTTTTCCTGAATCCAAATTGGCAGGGGTTGAGTATGTTTTGTGCCGTTATAAATGAATATAGTCTCCTGTGCACGAGTTTCTCAAAGATTTTGGATAGCAATGGTAAGTTTGATATTGGCCTATAGTTGTTTAAGTCTGTAGGGTCACCACCTTTATGTATTGGTGTAACCCTTGCCATCTTGAGTAGTTTCAGGAAGGTGCTAGTTTCTAGTGACTTGTTAAAAAGTAATGAAATAGCATGCGAAAGGACATGGGCTGCTCGCTTGTACAGTAATGGTGGGACATGAGACAGATTCCCTGAGTTATTTTTAAGTGACTTTATAATCTCGGTGACTTCCGTGGGCTCAGTTGGTGCAAGACAGAAGGAATTTGGGAAATTCCCATCTAGGTAGTCCCCGGCATGGGCATTGGTATGTGGGATTTTATTGGCGAGATTAGATCCTATGGTTGAGAAGAAGTCGTTTATCTTGTTAGCTGTGTCAGTGGGATGTAGTGGTGTTTCATTAGGTTTAGTTAGGACAATATTCTTGTTTTTTTTTCAGTTTGTGGGTCCCTAGAATCTGAGAAGAGTGTTTTCCAGGTCTTTTTTATATCTCCTCTAGTGTCTGTGAATCTACTGGAGTAGTATAGTTGTTTGGCTTTCTTTATTACTTTGGTGAGAACTGATGAATAGTGTTTAAGAATATCTTTGTGTATTAAGCCTTGTCTGTATTGCTTTTCATATTGGTGTTTCTTGTCAATGGATTTCAGAATGGTGCTGGTTAGCCATGGGCAACCAAGCCGTTTGTTTGTGATCTGTTTCGTTTTTATAGGACAATGTTTGTTGTATAGTCTAAGTAATTTGTTAAGAAAAATGTCTGTCCAGTCATCAATACTATTGGCCTTGGAGAATTCTGTAGGCCAGTCAACAGTCTCTAGGTCAGCTGTGAACTTCCTTATTGAGGCCTCATCATGGAGTCTAAATGAGACTTTGTTGTATTCAAGTGGTGGTTTACTAATGTTTGTCAGGAGGAAGGTAGGGTAGTGGTCTGTAGTGCTATCTGTGATTATCCCTGATTTAAGGGGGGCTAGTATATTGGTCCATATGTGGTCTATTATGGTTGCACTTGTCTCAGTGAGCCTGGTTGATTTAGTTATTGTTGGTATGAGAAGTGTGTTGTTCATATTGCTGATGAAATCAGTTACAGGCTGATCATCTAGTATGCCAAGGTTGATGTTGAAGTCTCCAGCTAAGAGAAGGTGGTGCTTATTCATTTGTCTGTTTGTTATTAGTGACTTTAATTTCTCACTAAAATTTGGGATGTTTGTGTGAGGTATCCGGTAAATGGCACCGATTGTAGAACCTGATGATGAAGGGGATCTAACTTAGAAAGTGTGGTAGGAAAAACTGCAGAATAGACTTGGTCGCCATAATCCAGCTTGGACAAGACTAGAGTGGATGCAAACGGAGGAGAGTCCGACGATCTGCTCCTCATGAACGATGCACAAGAATTTTAAGGAAATTCAGCCGACCATGGCAAGCTGCCTTCAAATAGGAAATGTGAGGTTTCCACATCAACAGGCTATCGAAGAGAAGGCCATGAAACTTGACCTTATCACATTCTGGAATACGTGAGCCATGTAAATATAATGAAATATCTGGGACAAGAGGACATCTAGTGAAGGTATTAAAATGGGATTTTGTACTGGAAAATTTAAATCCATGAGAAGTAGCCCAATGGGAAACTCGGTCAATCGCATCCTGAAGGGAGGCCACTACCAGGTGACAGTCAGCGCCTACGTAAGCTATAGTGAAGTCATCCACATAAAGTGACAACCAAATATGCAATGGAATAACGGAAGGTAGGTCATTTATAGCCAATGTACACAAAATTGTCTGTCAGATAAGAAAGGAGTAAGGAAAGTTGGTAGATTAGTATGAAGATGAAGGCCTAAGGAGTGGGCTTTGGCTAAAATGTTTTACCTCTAAGTGGTATCATATGCCGTCTCAAGATCAAAAAATACTGCTAGGATGGAGTGTTTAGCAAAAACATTTCGCACATACATATCTGAGTGGAGCAAGGGGTCCAACATAGAGCGATCCTTACAAAAGCCACATTGTAAAGTAAAAGGACACAAGTGTAACTAATGTGACATTTATTGTGGCAACGTTTCGCTCTCCAGGAGCTTTATCAAGCCATTACAAACAATACATGGACACAGAGGGTATATAAAGGCTCAGAGTGAGGTGAATACTAGTGAGGTGCCATTTCGATGTTCACTAGTGGTAGTAGTAGT